AGAGACCATCAGGGGTCCGTGTGGGCAGTGCCACTGCCTCAGGGAGGACTAAGACCACAAAAAGGTGGGAGCAGAGCCCTGTTTGCCCTGTAAACTTGCTGGGCCTGAGCCCTGGTCCCCCTGCTTTGCCTCAGTCCACCTTCTTGCTCAAGGCTTTGTGGGGTTTTGTCGATGCCACAGGGAGGGAAGTCAGGCAAAGCAGGAAGCCTAGAGACCCTGTGCCCAGCCCCACACAGCCTGCTATACTTTCTGTAGCTTGGAGAGGTCTTGTCTTTCTTGCCCTCTGGTCATTTGCCACCCCCATCCCTCTCTGAGCTCTAAGTAGTCCTGGGAATCTAGGGGGAGGATTGTAGCTTGAAACTTGTAGTCAGGTGGTCAAGTCTGTCCACTGCTTCTCTGTGTGTGTCTGTGTTGGGGGTGGAGAGAACGGGTCAAAGCCTGGGGTCCTGGCCAGTGTTAAGTTCCAGTGTGGGGCAGAGTGGCCCATGGTGGGCTATGGAGTGAGCAGAGGGTGGAATCCCATTTGTTGGTTGTGATGGTCTTCTGTCCACTTGTCCCTTGTTCCATTGGGGCCCCCGAAACCCAATCAAATGGGCAAGGGTTTTAGTGTTGGGCAGGCACTGAAGGGTGACAGAGGATGAGTTCACCCAGGAGCTGGTCCTAGGGGCCTAGAGGGCCCCCTTGTGGGAGAGAACTCTCTCCCCATGCTCTCCTGAACTCCTGCCTCAGGCTGGAGGGCATCCTGTCTTCAAGTTCAGGGAGAGGTGCTGTGAGGCAGGCCCTGGACTCTGTGCTGCTGACAGCCAAACAGTGTCCAGAGGACTCCTCAGGCCTGCAGCTGAGTCTGCTGAGACCCCAGCCAGGGATTTCCCTGTCTCCTGTCATTGGAACACAGGCCACTCTTCCTCGGAAGGAGACCTTACCAACAGGCTGTCCCTCTATTCCCGCCCTTGAACAGGCTTGATTCTGGCCATGGCTGGTATGTAGCCAGGCAGCTTGAGAATGCAAAACCCTGAAGGGGTTTGGTCCTGGGGAGAAAGAGGAAGATAGCAGCCTTGCTTTTGGTTATGAACCAAAGTGATGGCTGTTCCTGTGGTCCTGAAGAGGACAGAAGCTCCCACACTGTCACAGGGGACCAGCTGCAGGGGGAGGTCAGCAAGTCCACTGCCCTCACTTCTCCCTCAGCTGGGGCTGGGTGGGGCCAGAGCCCACAGCTGGCCTTTCCTCTCTGTGTTCTGGGTTCTGCCTGGCCCTCTTTGGGCTTCCTAAGCATTTCCAGGTAAGGGTCCAGTCTTGGAGCTGCCACATGGCAGCAGCCTCCTCAGTTACTTCCAAGGGAGCCCCCTTGACTGGAGCCCGAGGACAGATGAGATCTTGTGGATGTGCCAGTCAGGCTCCCAGAAGTGCTAGAAAGAGTGAGGCCATGGCGTGCCTGTGGCCCCTGCTCAGTTGTTGGCCCTGAAGACTAGCCATTCTGGGCTGAGGAAGGCCTCAGCACTGTCCTCCCCATGCCCCCTGCTTGGATCCCTGGCTTCCTTCTGGCGCCTGTCCAGGGGCACTAGGGCAGCCCCCCGCCCGCCCCACAGGCCTCCTCTCACGAGGCTTTGATCGCAGACCTCACAATTGCTGTTTCAAAGCCTTCACCGCCCTTGTTTGTGTCCCTCTGCTGCCGGCTGGAGGCTGAGGTTTCAGCGTTCCTAGGCCTGGCCTTTGAAGCTTGCTCTTATTAATCTTTTAACATCCCCCCCCAACCCCACCCACCCCGCCCACCCCTCCAGCCTGTGGCACTCACAGGAGCCTGAAGCCGCATGGAAAGAATGCCCTCAGCCTGCAGCTGCAGCCCCTTCCCAGGTCCTGCCAGGCTCCTGGCTGCCCTGAGTCTTTGGCCACGTCAGCCAGCCCCAGCCGCGCCCCCCACCCCCCTCCCCCAAGGCACAGAGACTGAAAAAGAGGAAAACATTCTGGTGTGTGATACTAGGGCCTCTTGGGCCCCTACAACTCTGGGCTGTGCTGTCACGTACCCTGTGACACGGGGCTCAGAGGGTGTCCAAGGGTGTCAGCGGAAGCAACCCTATCCATTTCTCACTCCCACGCCACACCTGTGCCCAAGAAAGCAGGGCCAGTCCCTGGTTAGAAACCCCATATCCTCCACCCCCTTTGGTAGATGTGGGTTAGAGGCTTTGATCCCAGGCATTCAGTTGCATTTTTTTTGGGGGGGGGGGGCGTTTCAAGACAGGGTTTCTCTGTGGTTTTGGAGCCTGTCCTGAAACTAGCTCTTGTAGACAAGGCTGGTCTCGAACTCACAGAGATCCGCCTGCCTCTGCCTCCCGAGTGCTGGGATTAAAGGCCTGCGCCACCACCGCCCAGCTTCAGTTGCATTTTCAAAGCACTAGCTATCCTTGTTTGGGAAGAATAGGAGGAGCTTGTGCTGTTCCTGGCTCCAGCTTCCTGCTTAGTCCAAGGGTGACAACCCTGCCTGGGCCGGTGTCACTCACAAGGAAGCATCTCTCAGCTCATGGCGTCTCTAAAGCAGCTTGATTTTGGGAGCCAGCCCTTGCCTCATGCCTGGACCTGTTCCCTAGGGCACTCCTGTCTCCCAGTGCCTCTGGGTACATTCCTAACTATAGAGATGCTCCAATCCATAGCCCCCCACTCTTATTTGGGGGAGGCATAAGTGGGGTGAGTTGTATGTCGTGGGGCAGGTCTTTCCCACTTTGGTGTCAGGCTGGTGGAGCAGACCTGCACTCAACAGCTCTTGTCTCCTCTGACCGCCTTGCCAAGGTGTACCCAAGTCATAAGCTCAGTGCACCGTGGGCTTCCAGAGTGACATAGGAGATCTGGTACTGCAGCTGGGCAGTGGAACATGGAGGAACCACAGTCACACTAGTGAAAAGTGGTCCACGAGGGTAGAGTGCTAGAGGAAGGGATGGGATTGTCTTTGGGAGACCCCAGCCTGCTGAACACTGCTGGTCTGGCCCTCTGAGCCCTCCCTGCTCCCTGCCTTCCTTAGGCAAACCTCTTCCCTGCTGCCCTTGTGCACTTTGGAGCTGAAGAAACAACAGGTGAGTGAGGCTTCACCTCTGACCCCTGCCAACAGGGCTCACCCAGAATCCCAGCTTCCCTGATGTCCAGATCAAGATTCCTTAGAAAGCATTCACACTGAGGGCCTTGTGGGCTTGGGCATCTGCAGCCCAGTCCCCACCTCCCTGGGGCACTGGGTGGAGGTGCAGGTCTCACCGTGACTGAGGGTGGCTCTGGCCTTGAAGGTCTCTACCTGGAGCCTGGACTGCTGGAACACACCGTCTCCCCGTCTGCGGCTGACATGCTGGTGGCCAGGTAAGCTCCTGAGGGGTTGGGAGCCCCGCCAAGGCTGTGCCCACCACCTACCCTTGGCCTCTCACCCCTAGGTGTATGGCCCGGGCCACCGGGTCCCCACCTCTGCTGCCAGCCCCTGACCCTGTGTCCCTGGAGTCCGAACCAATCACTGAGGAGGGGGCATTGGGGCCCCCTGAGCCCATTCAAGGGGCAGCCCAGCCTGTGAGGAGAAGCCTAGGCAAAGTGCCCAAGTGGCTGAAGCTGCCAGGTGCCTGCCTGTCCCGTACTGACTGGGTAGGAGGGTGGCTGGGCAGTAGCCCAGGAGCGGGTGCTCACTCTGGTGTTTGTATCACAGCTGGCAAGAGGTGAGAGCTACCAGCCCAGAGAGGTCCTTCATCAGCCACAGGATCCCACCCCACCCACCCCGAGCAGGAATAAAGACTCGCGCTTCTCTCAAGGCCCTCCGATTTTCTTTTCTGCAGAAACGGCCCTCAGGCCTCCATCCAGCTCAGTCTCATTCTCTGCTACCCATAGGACCCCTGGGAATCTGGCTGGACCACAGGGTGTTTCTATTTTAAAAAGCTGAGGTATCTCTGAAGGGCTTGAGAAGGCCAGAACCCTGGGCAGGCCAGCTTCCTCTTCATTTATATCTGACCTCATTAGCTCCTTTACTGAATGGACCGAAGCGTAGGAGGAAGCCTCCTTGGCAAATTATCTACAACCTGGGGCCATTCCAAGCTTCTGGCATACAGCCATAGAGGAAGCAGGCACTTAACCACAAAGCTACCTTTGGCTGTGCCTGGCCTGAGGTATTCTGGTAGCCCTGTCTGTATGCCTTCAGTAGGACTGCAAGTCCAGTTCCAGCACATAAGCTGGTAGGAGCTCTGTGTCCACCAGCCTGCCAGAAACCTACTGAGGACATGGGCACTTAGAGCAGCTCCATCCACCCAGCTAAATCCAGTCTGACCATGGCTTTCAGAGGTTGCCCTGAAGTCTGTCTAGGCCCTTCAAGAATAGTCATTGTCCCTTGGTATTATATGCCTTTCCTACTTGTCCTCCTGCCCCCACCTCTCACTGATACCACAGTTCTACCACTGGCACTGACCTCCTAACTCCTGGGTGCTCCACGGTGTCCCCACACTGGACTGACTGGGGCGCTATGTGTCGGGGTTAGCAAGACGCCCTGCATGTCTCCTGGAACTGGCCTGCCAGGGCCGGATCAGAAGGCTCAAGCCTGGATTGGGCTTCCAAGTCAGCCTCTTAGCTGCACCTCTCTGAGGGTGCGGCCTATCCCTTACCTAGACCCAGACTGCAGTTGGGCGGGGCTCAAGGTTAGCCTTTCTGCAGCCCAGCATGGCCACAGCAGGCCCAGGCAGCAGATCTGGTCCACTCATCCTGTATATCCTGGCTCTGCTGCCCCAGTGAACCGGTGAACCGTTACTGGTTCACAGAGACATTCTTGGACTGCACTGCCTACTAGTGGCAGCTGCTGTGGCTGTGGCAGGAGTGAGCCAGCCACATGTGTGCAGGCTCTGGTTTTACGGCAGCGTGTGCACACATGCTGTTTGTCATCCTGTCCTTTCTGAGCGTTCTGCATTTGTCCCACTGAGACGGATGGAAGGGAGCGTGGGGCTCGGGCTTTGAAGCAACTAGACTGTGTGATTAATGGCAACAAGAAGGCCAAGTCTCGGAGAGATGGTGTTGATTTATTGATGTTGCTTTGTAAGAACAAATTTACAGCTCAGGGAGGCATCCTGGTCCGGTGGTTAAAAGCCACACAGCAGCTCTGATGGAGGGGGGGCAAGAAGGCAGCACCGCCAGCCTCTGTTTATAATGAGTGGGGGTGGTGAGGGTGGGTGGCTGTGGGAAGGCTGCCCACCTTCCCTGCACCTGTCTCACACAGACCCCCAGAGGCCATAGCTAGGGAGGGTAACAGCTCCTGGTGTCCTCCCGTTCTCTGGAACCTGGGGAACTGGATGTCGATGCTGACAGGACTTCGTCCTAGACTCTGCAGGCCACAGGCCAACCTCTAGAAGTCCAGGAGCAGCTGAGGGAGCACCTTCTCCAGCTGATCCACATCCACGATGTCTAGGTCCTCTGCCTGGGCCTGCTGCACCCCACGAACAGCGGCTTCTGGAGAAACACTGAGGTGAGCTGGGGGGAGCCCTTACCAGGCCTCAGAGGAGGCCTAGGTGGCTCCTTAGTAAGTGTGAGGGACAGGACTGAGGGTTGGCCATAGCTGAGAAAAAACCCTTAGCTTGTCTACTGAAGAATAAAACAAGGAGTCCCCATTTTCTGGTGCTGTGGGGGCCCTTGGCTCACCTACCACGAAGATCTTCAAGAACTCCGCCATGAGCTGCAACGCGTCCCCACTGACTGGAGGGAAAGGGCAGGTTGTGGGGCAGACAGCCTTCCTCTCCTCCCTGTGCCCCACAATTCCTCCCCACCCCACTGGCGCCCCAAACCTTTCGTCTTGCAATCCCTGAAGTGCAGGTGCAGTACTCTGCTCACCAGCTCCTGGAAGAAGGGAGGGGAGTCAGTGCCGTTCCCAGCAGGTCCCCCAAGAACCAGCTCTGGGTGGTGCATTGTTGTAACTTGCAGCTAGAACACTGCCATCCTTTGACCCCTTCCCAGGTTGAGGAGATGAGGCCGGCTGTGCTTGGAGGGGGGGGGGGGCTGTCATAGGGGCTGTCAAGAAGAGCTTGAGACACTTGCCTATAGGGACGGGAGCACAAGAGATGGGGGAAAGTCTGGGGACATCATTGCCATTCCTCGGAGCTGAGGGACAAAGCTGCACCTTCACTGCTGGGAGGGAATCCTCCGTCGGGCCCGGGGGTGGAGGCTCATGCTCCTAAAGCGGGCCCTGGCAGCGCTGAGGAATGCTGACCCTTTAGCAGTCTATCAGCACGACCTAGCTTGGATTACTCCTGCACAGACAAACACACACACACCATGCTTAGCACATCAGAACCAGGCTGTGGCCAGAGGGGTGGGTGACTGGACAGATATCCGAGAACACTTAAGCTTAAGAAAGTTGGCAAGAAGTTGGAAGTCATTTCTAGTTGTAAATGAAGACACTTAAAGACTAGGCCTGTGATGGGGAAGCTTTGTTAACCAATCATCTTTAAGAGGTGGAACCTGTTAGGCATGGCTTCCTAGAGGCCAAGAGAAAACTGGGGCACTGACCCAGTGCGCTCTCTCTGGTTCCCCGGTGACACAGCTGAGCTTGTACTTCCCGTTCCTATTTCGTGAGTTTTCCCCTTATAATAAATAAAATATAATTGTTTTATCCTTTGGCTAGCCTGGTTATTTCCCGTATCAAGCTAGTTTCTACAGGTCTGGAGAGACCTAGCTGTAATGGTGCAATGAGTATTAGCGGTGGTGGCAGAAGGTAGGTGGCAATGTGTGCGATGAGGGTGAGAATCCAGAGGCTTAAGAATTCAGTGGGAAACCGGGCAGTGGTGGCGCACGCCTTTAATCCCAGCACTCAGGAAGCAGAAGCAGGCAGATCTCTGTGAGTTCGAGGCCAGCCTGGTCTATAGGGCGAGTTCCAGGATAGCCAGGGCTGCTACACAGAAAGACACTCTCGAAATTCAGTGGGGACACCCAAAGTGAAACATGAAGAGCCCCTGAGAATCTACAGTTTGTGAAGCCATCAGACCGCTCAAGTTTACCTAGTGAAGAGCAGAATGGGAAAAGGCTGGCAGCGGAAGACGCCTACCCAGGACCCTAGAAGTGGGTGACCTACAGAGCAAGGTGAATTTGGATTGACGAACATGAGCCCCGTGGAGGCCACGATACCCATTTGCTGCCGAGGGGCACACACAGGTGGGAATGGACATAGTGAGTCTGGGGCACAGGTGAACTGGTCAGGAGGGACGTGAGAGCAGCGCCACCTGCTGGTCCCCTGCACGCTACCAGAGAGGTACCAGGGAAGGCTCCACGGAATGTCAGCCCAGTCGATGAACGGGTGGATTAGGGGAAATCCCGTGGCACACAAGCTCGTTAGTGGTCCAGAAGGCCACAGTCAGGGATACAGGTCCCTCCCTCCCTGTCACTCTCTCCTCGGACAGCCCACTTAGCGTAGCCCAATGAATGCCCACAACTCCGATTCTGGCCAAAGCCTCCGAAACTCTGCAAGTACTGAGAAGCCAGGAAGTCCGCACCGGGCGCGCACCGGCCTGAACAAAGCCCACCCCTGACCACAGCACTCATGGGACGGAACACCTCGCTTCAGTTTCCCCCGGCGGATGGGCGATTCCTTGCACATCTGCTTGTCACTGAGAAATGACGCCGGCCCACGGACCCGCATCGGCCGTGCTGAAAAGGCTCTGTGGTCCCTCCCGGGAAGACCCCTTGTCACCAGCCTGGATCTACGGACCAGCCGCAGAGCACGCCCCGGGGTGCCCGACCCCCACCAAGGGCAAGGGGACACGGCGCTAAGGCTGACTTCGAGTCTGCACAGTGTCACGCGGCGAACCGCAACGCCCAAAGCTAACCTCGCACTCCTGTGGGCCTCACCTTCGGGAAGCCGCTCATTTCCTCCATGGTCACAGTCTCAGTGCGCGCTCTCCGGAACCCGCCCACATCCCAACCAATGAACGTGGAGCGCGTCCGTGAAGTCCCGCCTCCAAGCTCAGAAACCAATCACCTAAGGGTCCCCCCCCCCTTCTCCGCACCTTCCCTGAGTTCCCAACCAATGAGTCGGAGCGTCCTGCTTCGGCTCCCGTGGCTGGAGACCCAGAGCAGGCCGGCCCTGCGCTCTCATTGGTCTACCGAGAGCGCCTCTTCCGCGATGCCTCATGGGAGTTGTAGTTCCCATCTCCTTCCTGGAGCCCCACTCTCTTCCTGGATACTGAGGCGCGCGGGACCGCGTCCAGAGCACAGCATCAGCAACCCGAGGTCACGTCGCGAGGGCGGGCTAGGGGCCGCAGGGCCAGATCAGGGTACGTGCAACGCGCCTACCTGCTCTTCTAGGCCAGTGTGCTCTGCGCTCCGGCTCTCCCTATCACCGAACCCCTTCCTCCGAGCGGTTCTGACCTCCTCTCTATTCCACATTTCTAGGCCTCCCCTTATAGGGCCAGCTCAGCTCAACGCCCCTGTGTACACCCTCTAGGGAAAGGGGCTCCCAGTCATCGGCCTAGCAAGCTTACGCGCAGCCTGTGTTTAGGGGCATGCTTGCAAGGCCCTGCCAGCGTTCGGGAACATGGAGGAGTTCCGGCGCTCCTACAGCCGCCTGTGCAAGGAGAGTGGGGCTGAGCCCCAGGAGGCTGTCCTGCAGCAACTGCACCGGCTTCCGCGGGGCCGACTGGACCTGGCTACACAGAGCCTGACGGTGGACACCTGCAGGGCTCTGGGCAAGCTGCTGCATGACGAGTCGCTGTTGAAGGAACTTGTCCTCAGCGACTGCATGCTGAGCGAGGAAGGTGAGGCCGGTGGCCTCGGAGCAGCACCCGAAACTTCCGAGTGGGGTTCAAGCCCTTCGCCTCCAGGCTGGTCTAAGGGCCGATGTCCCGGTTGTGTTTGACCTGGGTAGCTGTTAGCTGGGAAGCCTGTGCTTTCCCTGTCCCCTCCCCTTCCTCCCTCCACGCCCCTTTGTTTTCTCCTTTCTTTGTGTACTTTAGCACTTTTTTCTAAGGCCTTGAAGCAGAGGTCAGTGTCACTGTAGAGTCACTTAACGTCTCCAGCTTTCACAGTTGCCCATCCTGGCTCAAGAAAGGTCTCGTTTGGCAAGCTAAATGTTTCTAACATGGCCTTACAACAAATGGGGAAACTCATTCCTATTGTGAACTCAAAACCTGGGTACCACCAGGACAAATGTCCCTCTTCTGTTTCTGGGTAGCAACCCTCTCTTCCAACTGCCTTCACGCAGGGTCCACACTGCTGTTCCAAGGGCTGTGTGACAACACCACTGTGCAGCATCTGGACCTAAAGGTGAGCAGGCCTGTACCCTGGGCAGTGGGGCCTGGGGTCTTGACAGCTGCTAGAGACTGTAAGAGCTCCCAATATCCAAGGTCTTAGGACTGCTCTCTGAGGACCCCGTGTGTTGGGCGTGTTTTAAAGGCAGAGTGTTGTTTTGAGTATGAGCTACATATCCTGGTCTCAGCAGAGTTCACGCAAACTCCAAGGCACTGGGCGCTATGATGCCGCTACTGTTAGGGAAACGCGGATCTGGCAGCCGTGCCTTTGCCCAGAGCTGCCTCCTAGCTTTGTGCTCTGCCTGAGTCTGTGGGGGCACAGATGTGCCATTCAGAGCCAGGGTAGAAAGAATGACTGGCTAGGGTGTTCCTTTTCCAGGGTAACAACCTCCGAGCTGCGGGAGCCGGGGCTCTGGGAAAGCTCCTCCGACAGAACAAGTCCATTCAGAGGTAGGACCACATCCAGGCCTCGCCTGTACGTCACCGCTTCCTCTCTGCGTGGCTCAGGGTTGGCCCCAGAGGATACAGTCCTGCAACCAGCTCACTTGGTCTTCACCCATGGGTGGATAGTAAGCCGGCTAACTCCCACCTGCTACATGCCCTGGACCCCATGGGACAAGTGTTCAGTTGAGCCGAGAACCTGTGTCCATCTTTCCCGTAGTCTCACCCTAGAGTGGAACAACCTTGGCATGTGGGACGATGCCTTTGCCACCTTCTGTGGGGGCCTAGCAGCCAACAGCACCCTGCGGCAGCTGGACCTCCGGAACAACCAGATCAGTCACAAGGGGGCAGAGGAACTGGCCTTGGCCCTGAAGGGAAACACCACTCTCCAGCAGCTGGGTGAGGTCTCCTGAATTCTGCCGTACCCCCGTGAGACGCTGGGTTATCTTAAGTCGTACCCTTTCCCTCTACTCCTGGCTGTGTTGGCAGCCACAGGCAGTAAAGCACAAAGGGAGCATCCTGGGCTGGGCCAGGACCTCCCATCCAACCGAGTGACAACAGGTTTCCTTCCAGACCTGCGCTGGAATAACATCGGTCTCCTGGGGGGCCGGGCCCTGGTGAACTGTCTCCCCAGCAACAGAACCCTGTGGAGGCTGGACCTGGCTGGGAACAACATCCCTGGCGATGTCCTGAGAGCTGTGGGTACGGACGCTCAGGGCTGCTAGCTTCTTAACAAGCTGGAGCAAGGCATGGAGCCCCAAACAGAAGCCCATCCACCACGGAAGGGTGTGGCTCAGGGATCATGACGTGGAGTCCCAGGGTATGAGTAGCTGGCGTAGGTCAAGGGGAAGGCAGCTGAAGACAGGCAGCTTGCTTGGTGCTTACACCAGGCTTCTCTCGTCTGCTCACACATCTTAGCACCTGTGTGCTAAGTTGAGCCGAGCTGTGTGGTGAGGGGGTGCTGGTTTCACAAGCAAGAAGCTAAAGCCCTGTGGCTTAAAGCCTTGCTCTGACAGCCATCAGATGGACTGAGCCCCAGCTAGGGAGGCTTCCTTGTAGCTTCCCCCAGCTTCTCCTGAGTTTGTGTCTGTGCTGTATGTAGAGTGGACATGAGTGGGGACGCCAGAACTCACTGTTATCTGCCTAGGAACCCCGAGTTCTTACAGGTGATATCTTGGCCTCAGGCTCCGCAGTTTACCACGTGGTAGTGCCCACCAACGTCTGAGCTTTTCAGGACTGGAGTTGTGGGTCCCAGACTTTGCCGTATTCCCTGCTGCCCGTGCCTGACCCTTCTGTCTTCTCCAATGTCTTCTTGTTCCCAGCCCTGTATCTGTGTGGCCATAGTCCTTATAATTGTTTTATGTTTGATCTTCTTGTTTGTCTGTCAAAGACAGTCTTGCTATGTAGCCCAGGCTGGCTTTGACCTCATAATCCCCCTGCCTCAGGTGCCTAAGTTTAGGGATCACTGGCATACAGTACCACATCGGGCTTATAATGCTGTCAGTCTTGTGAGAAGATAGTACCTGTCCCTTAAAGTCATACACCCCTTGACCTCCAATGGGGAAGCCAGATGCTCTAGGCAGTGCCCACCTTTTGAGGTAGTATAGCATCTTCCCCATTTGTACAAAAGACCTCCTGTCCCAAGGTCCTGCATCACCTAGTCCTGTCCTCAACTGAAACGCTTAACCCAGGTGCCCTGGATGGGGCTGTCTGGTTGGTTGTGGAGATGTTGTCTTCTCTAGGGTGACATGGGAAACACAGGACTGAGTTGGTCATTGCCCCTAATGTCAAACCCGGTGGATAACGTGGCTCTTTCTGACAGAGCAAGCCATGGACCACAACCAGGACCGGCTCACTGCCTTTCGGGAAAACAGAGCCCGCACCAACATCCTTAGCAAGGAGGTTCAACACCTCCAGGAAGAGAAGTCCAAGCAGGTGAGCAGAGGGCCCTCACTAGCCCTGGGCTCTGCCCAGCCTGGCGGCACACTCTTGCCCTCTCCTTTGCTCCAGGCCTCTGAGCCAAGGCAGCCCGGGGCTAAGGTGGCCTCCTGGCCCTGCTTCCTGTGTGCTGACTTCACCACAGAGCAGCAAGCAGGCAGGGAGTTCTAGCCTCCAGGCCTCCCTCGGTCAGTCAGCCCACCCTTGTTTTGAGTGAGACAGTGAACTGAGTCCTTTGCAGCCTGACTCTGTGGATGGGAGCCTGCACTTCTGTCCCTGACCGGCGTAGGTTCTGCTTCTAATGCTGTCTTGACTGACTCTGCCTCCAGTTTCTGGATCTGATGGAGACGATCGATAAGCAACGAGAAGAGATAGCCAGGAACAGCAGGTGAGTGAGCTGGGGGTACCCGCGACTCAGTGCCTGGCTTCTGACTGGAGCAGGACCTCACCTGGGCCCTGTCTGTTACAAGGCTGAAAACAAGGTCATTGCTCCCATCCAAGCAAGGGGGATGGCAGTTAGTGGCAGCTGTGGGGTGCTTGGCTCTGGCCTGGTGCACTCGGGGATGCTACAGACATAACTGTGCAGAGATCAAGAGCTGCTGCCAAGGCTGGGAAAAAAGCCAGGGGCTCTGGGGTTTGGCTTTCCCAGCGCCACCACTCTGCCCACAGGGCATCGGCAGCACGAATTGGGCAGCTTCAGGAAGCCCTCAACGAGAGACAATCCATCATCAATGCCCTCAAAGCCAAGTAAGGAGAGGAACCCTCAGACACCTTCAAGACATATCACCGTGCCAAGAAGGGAGAGGAGGGGACGAATGCTTCCTGGGGTTTGAGTGGGAACAGAAGACCTCTGCCAAGCAGGTGACATTCGTGACTGAGCTGCACGGGGGCCCGTCTTCCTCTTTGTAGGCTGCAGATGACAGAGGCTGCCCTGGCTCTGTCAGAGCAGAAGGCCCAGGACCTGGGGGAACTGCTGACCACAGCGGAACAGGAACGACAGAGCCTGTCGCAGAGACAGGAGAAGGAGCGGAAGCTGGAGCAGCAGGTAGGAGCTGGGCTGTGTGGACTAGTAGGCGGACGGAAGTGCCTGGCAACAGCCCAACTGGAAGCGTCTGTCACCTTGCCCTTCTCACTCAGGAAGCTGCAGATCGGGAATCTAAGCTCCTCAAGGACCTGTCTGCCGCCAATGAGAAGAACCTGCTGCTTAGAAGCCAGGTATGAGGGGGTGTGGGTTTGAGAGGGTGTGGCCAAAGGGGGATAGCGCCAGCCACCCAAAGAGCCTAGGGTAGTGTCGCGGGGCTGGGAGACGCTTCCTCTAGTGTTGCCTGCTTCCCAGGTGGATGAGCTGGAGCGGAAGATGAAGTCTCAGCAGGAGCAGCTGTTCCTGACCAGGCAGGAGCTGACTAACACATCAGCTGAGCTGAAGATCCGTGCTATTCAGGCTGAAGGTAGGCACTAAGGGCACAGGGGGCTCCAGGGACAAAGCCCCCCCACCCCGGGAAGACTCGTCACACTTTCCCATTGGGCCTCCAGAGCGCTTGGATGCGGAGAAGCGGAGAGCCAAACAGAATATGGAAGACTTGGAGAAGCTGCACTCGAAGGAGGTGCTGTCTTATGGATTCCCCTGGCTCCGCTGTCTCTGCTTGGGGCTTGCAGACCAGCCCTGTGTGCTGCAGCAATTCCCAATGCGCGCCCCTGGCTGGTGAACCCTGAGTTGATAATGCCAGAGCTGCAGGCAACAGTATCCATAGTCCAGGCCGCTGTGGGCTTCCTTGCTGGATGTCCTCCTCCAGAGCAGAGCCTCTGTCCTTGGTGCCCGCCAGGACATTCAAGTCAGGCCTTAGCAAAACGATACCTGCTCTTCAGGGCAGGGATCCCATGGGGTGAGGGCTAGGAGAGCCTGAGTTTGCTGGCCTCTTACCTCCCGCGGTTGGACAGGTGAATCACATGACCCGTCACCTGGAGGAGAGCGAGAGGGCCATGCAGGAGAGGATACAGAGACTAGAGGCGATGCGGCTGTCCCTCGAAGAGGTGAGACCACATGAGCCCTGGGGCACCCCTAAGTCTCAGCCTCGTTAGGTCTCACTATAGGGACCCACCCATCCCCGAAAGTTCAGAGACTAGAAATGACATTTTACCCTCTTTGGCAGTAACTAAGCCCTGCTCAGTGAGCAAGGAACGGCTGTGTGGTTCTGAGGCTATTTATGGAGAAGTTCTCCCAGCCTGGCTGCCCAGTGGCCTGGAAGGAGCCCTGGGTCAAGGGGGCAGCGCATTTTCAAGACAGGCTAGTGTTGTCTATCCGCCACGCAGGAGCTGAGCTGCTCGAAGGCAGCGGTGCTCACTGAGCGTGGCCAAGCCGAGGAGGAGCTCATCAAAGCCAGGAACCAAGCCCGCTTGGAGGAGGTGAGCTTCGGCCACAAGTATGTAGGGGCCAGTGGTGGCACCTTGCAAAGGAGTCTGGTTGAGGTGGCCAATGGGGCTGTGGGCCGCAGGACTAGAGCTCAAGAGATCCCAGCAGCCAGCAGGGCTGTGGTGCCGCCCGTACTGCCTGAGTAAGAGGAAGGCTAGAGATGATAGCGCTGGCTTGAGATGCCCAGCAAGAGATGCTACTGGATGCAGGACAAGTGTAGTGGCTGATAACTTGTGTGACGCCGTGAAGTCCTCTCTTCGGTCCTTGCAGAGGGGTGGAGGTTAGTCCCCACACAGTGTGTCCCTCCGCCTTTGAGCTCAGACTGGGAGCCCTTCATGGGCAGCAGCCGTATCTCCTGCCCACAGCAACACCGCCTCGCTCATCTGGAGGAGAAGATTCGGCTCCTGGCACAGGCAAGGGACGAGGCTCTGGGCACCTGCCTGCAGCAGAAGCAGACGGTAGCTGAGTCCCAGGCACGGGCCAGCCAGCTGAACCTGCAAATGGAGGGGCAGCAACGGCGGCTGGAAGAGCTGCAACAGGTAGCGTGGACTCGGGGAGCACAGACTCCAGGGGTTCATCTCCGGGCTGTAGGCTCACCTTCCCCAACCCCATCCCAGGAGCTGAGCAACAAGGAGCAAGAGAAAGCGGCTGAGGTGACCAGGGTCAGAGTGGAGCTGCAGGAGCAGATGGGCCGTCTGCAGGCTGACCTGGTGGCCCAGGAGGCGCTGAGGGAGAAGGTGGCAGCCCTGGAACGGCAGCTGAAAGGTTATCACATATCCACCTGACAGCTGAGCTTGGCCCTGGGGTGGGGTGGGGGGTCTCCCCTCGAGATGCACCCCTTCCTTCCTGCACCCCCCAGACAGGGTTTCTCTGTGTAACCCTGGCTGTCCCCGAACTCACTCCTGTGGATCACGCTGGCCTCCAACTCAGAGATCCGCCCACCTCTGCTGGGGTTAAAGGCGTGGGGACACCCTGCAAGGCACCCACCCCCTCCTTACTGAGCCTCTCGCTTGCAGCGGTCGGGAGTGAACACCGGGAGGCGCTGCTGGACAGAGAGAGTGAGAATGCCTCTCTCCGAGAAAAGCTACGGCTCAAAGAGGCAGAGATCGCACGCATCCGGGATGAAGAGGCCCAGAGGGCAAGCTTCCTGCAAAACGCTGTCCTGGCTTACGTGCAAGGGTCTCCCCTGAGAGCCCTGAGTCCCCCGAAGTGAAGGGAGGCCGGGAGGCCCGGAGCGAGTGCAAAAATGCTGCATCCCATTCTCAAAGGCAGGCCTGGGGTTCAGAAGCCTTAGCTGCAGTGTCAGGGTGGGGTTCTGCCATCACTGGTGCTCACGGGCACACTTGCCCATCCAAGGGAGTTCACCCGCAGCTCACCGCTAGCATAGGCGAGACGAAGTGCGCAGGAACGCTCTCAGACGACCCAGTCCCAGAATCACAAACCGGAACAGGACTGTGGTAGGAGGGAACAGAAGCCCCCACGGCAGGGTGGAAATACATGACTTTTGTACTTGGTAACACATTTGCGTCCAGTTCCTTTCTCCTGCACCCGCTGCCCCAGCCGCGAGAATGAATCTTCCCGGGTTGGTACTCGGTTGCCCCAGGCAACTGGGAAGGCCATCTCTGCACTGGGTCTGTAGACACGAGGGTTTCTCAGCTGCAGGGTGGGCTGGTGTCCCTGGGAAGCATTGGGCTTGGCCACCCTGCACATCCATTTCGGTGGCATCACCAACCTGAGCCGCGTTGTACCACATCCTCGTTCCTGGGTGTGGACCCTCAGTCTAAGCCTTCGGGGTTCAAGGACTGGATAGGGCTCCGCCCCCACCGCCGCTGCTCGCCCCTTGCCCCGCCCCGCCTGCGCACACTCGGCTGTCTTCGCACCCGACACTCGGCGGCGCTCGGCTGTCTCCGGCCGCTCGCTCGGCGTTCGGGTCCGCGGCCGCTGCGGCGCCGGGCATTTCTCCGCAGCTCGGCTCGCGGCCGCGCCCGCCGCCGCCCGGCCCCGCGCCCATGCAGGCCATCAAGTGTGTGGTGGTCGGCGATGGGTGAGTGCGCTGTCCCGAGCCTCAGGGGCGGAGGGGCTGGTAGGCGGCTACGGGGTGAGGTGAGGTGGGGCGGGGCAGACAGACGCGGGGTCCTGGCTAGACGGTTCCGCCGCTCCCCCACCGTAGCCTGACCGCGTGCGTCCAGGGGCCGATGGGGTGGGGTCAAGCGCCAGCTGTCCACCTTCCTCTTAGCCCGGGCACACCTGATGCTACCCGGCCTCCACCCCGGTGCTCACTGTGGGTGGGGCCGGGCCTCACCTGCGCTGATTCCTGGGTGGCTCCACCCTCGCGCTAGCCACCCAAGGTGCTGGGAGCTCTGACGCCCCTGTGCATTGCCTGTGCATTGCGGCGCGCCTTCTCCAGGATTGTGAGCCCTTGCAGCCGCGCCCACTGCTGTGCTCCCTGGGAGGCTAGCCTGCTCTGGTCGGTTTCTATCAGCCCCAGGTGGCTGCAGATCTGCAGGGCTACGACCTACTCACCCCACCCCAGTCACCCAAACTAACCTCCTTCCCTGCGGGAGCTGGCTGCCCTTGCGGGGAGGAAAGGGGCGGAGGCTCGGCCCTGGAGCCACGTGGGCTGAACCTCTTTCCACAGTGCCGTGGGGAAGACTTGCTTGCTGATCAGCTACACGACCAACGCCTTCCCGGGAGAGTATATCCCCACAGTGTGAGTGCATGGCGGTGGGAGGTAGCTGGAGCTGGCCACTAGAGGCCAGTTGCACATGTACGGGACCTCCCCTAGGCTCCAGGTCTTGTTCAGGTGACCCTAGTTTTGGGTTTCCATGGTGAGGCTGAGGCGCTGGCCAGAGTTTGGGTTGTGTGGGCTTCAGAACTCGAGCCTGCTGGCTGGGCGCCAGTAGCCCGGCATCCCTGCCCAGCCTAGCCTTTCCTTTTTGCAGTTTCGACAACTATTCAGCCAACGTGATGGTGGATGGGAAGCCAGTCAACCTCGGTCTGTGGGACACCGCTGGCCAGGAAGACTACGATAGGCTTCGGCCACTCTCCTACCCTCAAACCGTAGGTGGCAAGAGGGCTGAGCTGGGTGGGTCCTGGATGGGGAGGAGACACATACTGCTTGGACACCCTTTGGTCAGTTCTGTCTGTCCCTCCCTCTGAAGGATGTCTTTCTGATCTGCTTCTCCCTGGTGAGCCCAGCCTCCTTTGAGAACGTCCGTGCCAAGGTAGGGTGGGCCAAGGGGTCCTAGTAGAAGGCACACCCCTGCTGAGAAAGGGTCTCTGCCTGTGATCTTTTCTGCTGAGGGAGACACTGAAGGTGTCAGGGTGGACAGCTCACAAACTGGCCTTGGGCGCTAACTGAAAAGCTGTGGGCAGTCTCCGGTCTCCCTGGATGGGTATCTTTCTTTGCTGCCAAACCCAAGAAACTCCCAGTCACCTTGTGATACAGGAAGAACCCCATGCGTCAGGGGAAAAAAGCCCCAGGAGCTGGGGCCCACTTTGGGCAGAGTAGGGGCATAAGGGTCTCTGAAGCCTGTGACAGGGTCAGAACCTCTGTTCCCACAGTGGTACCCAGAGGTGCGGCACCACTGCCCCCACACACCCATCCTTCTGGTGGGTACCAAGCTGGACCTGCGTGATGACAAGGACACCATTGAACGGCTGCGGGACAAGAAGCTGGCGCCCATCACCTACCCACAAGGCCTGGCCATGGCCCGAGAGATCGGTGAGTAAGTGTGGGGGGCACAGATTGGGAGTCTGCTTGGAGGTGGCCCTGCCTGTGCCGCTACCCCCTCTGCTGGCCCCTTTCTTGCTATCTGTCCTCCTCCCAATGTTCCTAGGTTCTGTCAAATACCTGGAGTGCTCAGCCCTGACCCAGAGAGGTCTGAAGACGGTGTTTGATGAGGCTATCCGGGCAGTACTCTGCCCGCCTCCCGTGAAAAAGACAGGCAAGAAGTGCACTGTCTTCTAGAACCCTGTCTGGCTGGCCTGGCTGAGGAACCCTCGGGTTGAGCTGTCCGGTGTCCCTAAGTCTGCTGTGGGAAGTGGTGTGGGCGGGGAGGGGAGCATGGGGACAAGGCTGGGGTGATGGGGTCCTGTCCCCTGTGCCTCCTTTTTCTGGGATATAGCACCAGTCTTCCCTGGTTCCTTTGGGAGGCCAGGAGGGAGCAGGGTCTCCCTCGGGGCTGCAGGGGTGGGTCCAGGGGAGCCCCAGGATGGGCTTCCCTGGAGGGGAGGGTGGGGGTGGGTTTTGTTCATCATGTCCCAGGAAAGGGCGGCCCCTTCTTATTTTATACAATAAACATTCACCACCTGCTCTGTCTCACCGTCTGCTGCGCTGTCCACCGTGGTACCCGCCCTAGCCTTTCCCTGAGGGCAGAGGAGTCCAACATTCCTAGGGGCACTACATTTCCAAAGGAAGCTCCAGGGTTTACACACCCTCGGTGAGGGGAAAGACACCACACGGGTCAACGCAGGGGTGGGCACACTTAGCCGTGCACGGATGTCATGCAAACCTGAGCCTGGTGGGACCCTAGGGGACACTTCGGCATCTCTCTCAGAGCTGAGGAAAACCGGCTATGAAAAGGATGGAGCCTGGCCTCTGTGAGCCTAGCGGGCCCACCTCTGACCGGTATGAGATGCTCACAGGTTGCTGAATTGGAGGGAGGACAGCCCATGAGACCCAAGAGTTGTGGTCCGGAACTCGGACTTTATCCCAGAAGCTGAAGACATTTAATGCCGGGAGGTTGTGGCGCACGCCTTTAATCCCAGCGCTCGGGAGGCAGAGGCAGGCGGATCTCTGTGAGTTCGAGACCAGCCTGGGCTACCAAGAGCTAGTTCCAGGACAGGCTCCAAAACCACAGAGAAACCCTGTCTCGGAAAAAAATACCAAAAAAAAAAAAAAAAAAAAAAAAAGACATTTCTTTCCCTGGAGCAGACTTGAGACCAGAGGATGCCCTGCAGGGATGCGCTCTCCTCGCAGGGAGGCATGCAAGCTGTTCATGCTGACTCAGAGGGCTGGTTATTCCTTTTTTTTTTTTTCTTCAGGAAGTTTGCCAGCCAGTTGTTAAACAGCTCTTATTAATAATTAAATCACATAAACTTACAATTAGCTGTGCTGAGAACAAGTTAGCAAATTCCTCATTTCCTAATTGCTGAATACATGTTGCCACCCTTTGGGCCTCATGTTATTGTATGTAATGGGGTGCTACTGTGGGCCTCTTCGCCTCCACGTCCCCCCAAATGATATCAAGTGGACAGCTTGACGTCAGCTGTAATTCAAGTTCCACACCGTTCAATGTGGCAAACCTCATGGACTAGGGCTTGGTTTATCAGTGGCCCGGGAAGGGAGACACTACAAGTTAAATAAACCAGGACCCTCTCATTATGCTTTAAATAACAAAAAGTCATAGGAATGTTCAAGTTTTAGAAAACAACAAAAGTCGTTCAGCTCATTGGTTATATGTCTGCCCCCTCTCTTTTGGTGGGTGTAACACTCACTGGCTGGAAATTAAGGTCTGTCTGTTGGCATTCCCGTGAGAACCATACAGAGCTGTTTGTTTGGTTTGTTTGGTTCTTACCAACAATCCACAGCTCCACTCCAGAAACCTCTGAACAGGCTATCTTGAGGCAAACTGACCAAACTCTTGAGGATCCAGCCTCTTGAAGGTCCTACCTTGCACTCCCTGCGAGGGAGCTGGCCAGGCCTGAAAGTGCACAAGAACCAGGCTATACCTGCTTTGGATCACAGACAACATGAAGATCTCTGCCTGCCTGAGCACACAGGCTGACAGAGACGTTTATTGGTGGGACGGAGGGCACAGTGTTCTGAGCATAGGGCTGAGCAGAGTAACAGTGGAGGGGGCTCAGGTGGCCAGGAAGCCACCGTCCACCGGCAAAGCACAACCCGTGGTCATGCCACTTCGGTTGCTCAGCAGGAAGAGGATGGTGTCCACCACGTCCTCCACTTCTGTAGGCAGGATGAGGTCGAGAGCAAAGATGAAGGAAAGGTTGCCTCATCCTGCAGCCCCAGCCGATCCCCAGGCCCAGGCAAGCCCTAGGCCTGCTGGTACGGTTCCCAGTCTGGACTCCAGCCTCGCTTACCAGCGAACTTGCCAAGTGGGATGCGATCCAGCATAACTTTGGCCTTGTGGGGGTCACTCCAGTTGGTCCGGCCCATGGGTGTCATCACTACCGTGGGATTGACTGCATTCACACGGATCTGCGAAGAGGCCAGCGAGTTATAAACAACGTGTGAGGGTACCCTGGGCTTAAGGACTGACTGGAGGAGTTGCCCCGGGCCAGCGCACCTTGTGGGGTCCAAGCTCCAGGGCCATCATCTTGGTCAACATGTCCAGGGCACCCTTGGTGGAACCTGTGAGGGAGGGTAGCTCTAGAGGCCAAGAGCTGGCTCGGGAGTGGGGGTGGGGAATCCGACACAGCTGGAGTTACTCACAGTAGACACTATGGTTGGTCAGCGCCCGCTGGGAGGCCTGGCTGGAGACGTTCACGATGGCTCCTGGGACTCCCCGAGCTATCATGCCCTTGGCCACAATCTGAAATTTTGAGGGTTATAAAACAGAACTAACCTTCTACTTCAGAGTTCCTACTCCAGCCAGGTAGGGCAGCTCACCTGAGACACCTGGATTACAGCCCGAAGATTCACGTTGAAGGACCTAGGAGTGAGTGAACAGCCTGGTGAGGGGCAGGACTCCTGCTGCTGCATGGGATGGTCCCTACAACCCCTGTTGGCTCACGTGTCACAGGCCTCCTTAGTGATCTCCAGGAAGGGTTGCAGCAGAGCCACACCGGCGTTGTTCACCAGCAGGTCCACCGGTCCCACATTGCTTAGGGCCCGTTCTGTGGCCTCCCAGTCTGCCAGGTCCACACACACAGGCTCCACGCCAGGACACTGTGTGTATTGGGGCAAAGCAAAGCCGTTAGCAACTGTGTCCCAAGAAGGTACTGCTGCTGGCCTTTTCTTCCTGGGGAAAGGTAGCTAGCAAGTCTGGGAGAGCTGGGCCTGGAAGGGAGCTTTCTTTTGGAAGGGTCAGGGGTTCCAGCCTCAGCAGCAAATTCGGAGGCGGAACCTAGAGCTGAGAGACACAGCCACGCCTCCGGGCACGCATTTCATTTCCTCCCCGCCCAGCATTCTTGGACCTAGGACTGCTCTCTCCGCGGACCTTGCATTTTCTTCCAAACTCAGGGAGCCAGGATATCTAGATGGACCCCCGACAGTTTGCGAGGTCTCGGATCTAGGAGTGCAGAGGGCTCCCACCACAACACCCAGCGCCAGGCGCAGGGAGCAAGGCGGGCCTGCAGTGAAACACGCTGTGTGGGTGTAGGGCGTCAAGGGGCGCAGCGTCTCACTCGGAGACCGTCTCCTCACCTCTGGACACAGTGCCTACCTCGCTAACCAGGCTGTCAAGGTCCGCTCGTGTCCGGCTCACGGCCACAACATGTGCACCAGCCGCCTGCAACGCCAGCACAGTGCTGCGCCCGATGCCTGAGGCGAGCGAGGATTAGTGCGGGTACCCCCTTTTCAAACCAGCCGGACCCCACCAGCACCCCTCTCCTGCCTCCTCACCTTTGCCCGCGCCGGTGACCAGCGCCCGCCGACCTGCAAGTCCCAGGTCCATGGTGGCCCAGCCAGATCGAGCTGGAGAAAGATGAACTTGGAGTTCCGGAATCGAGGGCGGGGCGAGGAGAGCCAATCGCGTGGGCTGCGCCCTGAAAAGGGCGAGGATATTAAAATAACAGCTCCCTCTGTCGTGCTGATTGGCTGAACTACAGTGGGCGTGACCGAGGCGGGGCTGTGTGAACCACGGGACACAGCTTCTCAAACTGCCCCGGACAGATCCAACTACAGAGCCTGGAATCCGCTTAGCCTTAGCGAACTCTGGTCAGCATGGTTTTCACTGCCAAGAAGATTTCCATGAGAAACAGATATACCAGTTTCCCCAAGCGTTTCACGGATTTTCGTGAACCTGAGAGGCGCGTCCAAAAACGTTTTATGTGCTCTTTCCCCAGGCCTGGGAGTGAGTTGCACTTGGGAGGCCAGCCTGGTCTACAAGAGCTAGTTCTAGTTCTCCAAAGCTACAGAGAAACCCTGTCTCAAAATAAAAAAAATAAAAATAAAAAAATTTAAAAAAAATTTAAAAAAAAAAAGCGGGCAGGAAAGGAAGAGATAGGATTGGTTTGCACATGGAAACTGGCCAGACAAGCATCGCTTTCCAAGTCAGTAACAGATTAATGAATGTCCAGGGGTGCACTGTGTCTCCCTATGAAAATATTTTGTGGTTAGGGTCATGGTGAGGAAGACTGGAGCTCTGAGGACCTACCCTGGCCAGTAGTAGGGATCTGGTGAGAGCCGTGAGCCCAAAGGGGCGTGCATGGCCTGAGCTGCGGGGCTCAGTGGCTAAGATCACTGGATGCTCTTGCAAAGGCCTCCAGTGTGATGCCCAGCACCCGCATGCATGGCCGCTCACAATCTTCTGTTTCAGAGGAACCCATGCCGTTGTCTGGCCTCTGTGAGTGTGCACATGGTGAGCATGTTCATGCAGGCTAAACCCATACACATAAAATAATAGTATTCTTTTTTAAGAAAAGAAAACCATCCGGAGGGAGGCCAGAGGGCCAGGTAGCCCCTCCCCCATCTTTACCTGCTCACCACCACTGTAAGGCTGTTCTGTGAACTCTGCCCTGCTGGGAACCAAGAGATAGACAGCACCCAGCCTGCCCAACACCAAGACACAGCTGCCCAGAGCTCATTAGTGGCTTCAGTATTCCAGGACATGCACAAATCTGATTAACTGTTCCGTGGTCCAGGGAGCTGCTCAGGCCTTGCTCTGGAGAGAGGTACTCTCAGAACCCGTGTCCTGTGCTTTTTAGGTCTTCCTTGATCCCATTCTCCCTTGCTCTGAGTTGGACTCTGTGTCAGTTCAAACGGTCGGCCACTTCAAGCCCGACAACCTACCAGATGCCAAAGCAAGCAAGCACAGGGGTTGCAGGACTCTAGTGTCTGCTGGTTCTGGCCAGGGTGATAAACCAGCTAGCTAACTGTGTGAGAGCTTCCATTTGGGAAGCCTTGCTACCATGTTCTTGTGTATGGACCAGGCCAGGGAAGTGGGTTCCCGTGAAGATGGAAAGATTCCAATCCCTTCCAATGGCTCCTCTCCTTCTGCAGAGTCCACAGGT